GGCGCTCCCCGCCCGAGGCTCCCCGTGCGCTAGGGAGTCCTCCGTCCGGGGAACGACGAGGTCGGGAGTGAGTCGCCGGTCCGAAGACCCCAAAAGACCGGCGCTCCCCACCCGAGGCTCCCCGTGCACAGGGGACCCACCCTCCAGGAGCCAGCAGGCAGGAAGCTAGCCAGCCAGAAGGCTGGCACTACCCACCCGCAGCTCCCTGTGCGCCGGAAGCCCTCCTTCCGGGAAACCCTGAGGCCGGGAGTGAGTCGTCGGACCAAAGACCGGCGCTCCCCGCCCGAACTACCTTTCATTTTTTGACGGTATCTTTTACAACACAAGTTTTAAATTTCCTACCAGCTTTATTGAGACATAGTTCACAAATGAAAATTATGTATATTTGTGGCGTACAGCATGGTGTTTTCATTTAAGCGTACACCGTGAAATAATCATTACCATCAAGCTGATTAACGTACCTGTCACTGCACATAGAAATTGTTTTTGTATGTGTGTATTTGATGAGAGCATTGGAGATCTCATTAGCAAAGTTCCAGCATGCAATAGAGCATCATTAACTGTAATCACCAGGCTGTACCTTAGAGCCCCAGGTCGTACTCACCGTGCCTAACAGAACTTGGCACTCTAACCTGTTCCTCACACCCCTCTCCTGCCAGCCCCTGCAGCCGTCATTCTCTCCGCTTCTAGATTCCACATGTAAGCAGGATTGGGCAGTATTTGTCTTTCCTGAATCTGGCTTATTTCACGTAGTATAGTGCCTGCCAGGTTCAGCCACACTGTCCCAGTTGGCAGGATTTCCTTCTTTTTTTAAGGCCAAATAATGTTCCTGTATGTGTGTCTCACTTTCTCTGTTTCTCTGTCAGCAGACCCTTAGTTGTTTCTCTATGCTGACTGCTGCCAGGGGCACCGCAGCAAGCAGGGTGTCACACATGTTTCTTCAGCAAGTGAGACCACTGGATTGTGTGATAGCTCACTTTTCATTTTTTGAGGGACTTGCCTATTTTCCACAATGATTGTGATTTACATTCTCACCAGCAGTGTACAAGGGTGCCCTTTCTTCCCACATTCCTTACAACACTTTTTGGATAACTTGTTTCCCTTTGTGATAATAGCCATGCAAACAGTGCAAAGTGATACTGTGGTTTTGATAAGAAGCTTTTAATTCGGTTGAAGTCTGATTTGTCTGCTTTCTTTTGCTGCACGTGCTTTTGGTGGCCAGTGAAATTCTTGCTTAACTCCAGGTTATGAGGAGTTAGTCCTATATTTTCTTGTAAGAGTTTCATAGTTTTACCTGTTAGGCTTAGCTCTGTAATTTTTGTGTTTGGTGCATGAAGTAGGATCCAGTTCTGTTCTTTGGCACATGGATACCCAGGTATCACAGAACCATTTGCTGAAAAGTCTATTCTTTCCCCACGGAACTATGCTGTCCTTCTGAATGAAGTCAACTGCCCATGAGTGTAAGTTTATTTCTAGGTTCACATATCAGTCCCTGTGCCAGAACCGTGCTGATCACTGTGTTTGGAAAGTGTGAGTGCACTACATTTGTTCTTTTTTATTTGGGGTACCGAGAATTGAACTTAGGACCTCGAGCTTGCCAGGCAGGCACTGCACCGCTGAGCTATATCCCTGGCCCACTACATTTCTTCTTTTCCAAGATCACTTGGGCTGTTCCGGGTCCTTTGAATTTGCATATGAATTTTAGGATCAGTTAATCAATTTTTGCAAATAGATTTTGTGTCTGTGGGTTTTTTTTTTTAAAGTCTGTGGGTGTAAATTGACTTTTTTAGAGTTGTTTTAGCTTTACAGCAAAATTCAGCAGAAAACAGTTCCCATATTCCTCTTACACATGCCCATTCTCTTATTGTCACTGTCTGCCTCCAGAGTGGTACATATTACAGGGGATAAGCCTGTGCTGGGTCATTATCACCCACGGGCCATGGTTTACATTAGAGTCATTCTTGGTGTTTGTACATTCTATGCTTTTGGACAAACGTATAATGATGTCCATTAGCCATTAGAGTATCACGCTAGGTAATGTGTTAGAATTTCTTCTTGTTAGCCAAACCTTCTAATTACTCTAAAGAGAATATGTTTTGCTAATGTAATTTTTATAAATTAAAAATGTTTTTAAAACTTTGTATTGTTGGGCCAGGGATATAGCTCAGCAGCACCAGCGCCTGCCTGGCAAGTGCAAGGTCCTGAGTTTGATTCCCGGTACCAAAACAAAAAACAAAAACCAAAAAACTTTGTATTGTTTAAGTATTTTCTCCTGAAAATACTTGGAAGTAGCCAGGCATGGTGGCACATGCCTGTAATCCCCGAACTTGGGAGGCTGAGGCAGGATGATCACTGTGAGTTTGAGGCCCACCTGGGCTACAAAGTGAGTTTAAGGCCTGCCTGAACTGTATAGTGAAACCTTGTCTCAGAAAGGCAAAAAAAAAAACCCCAAAACCTGGAAGTGATTGGTAAAAATTTCTTACTGCATTTATTCTCACTGTATTCCCATGAAATTAGAGGGGGAAAAAAAATCCTCTTTTGCATATGGAGAGAATTCAGGACAGTGTTTATGACCCATGGAGGTTGGCAAGGTCAGCGGTTGGAAAAGAACTAAATTGATGTCCACACTTAATTTAGTAGAATGGTCCTCAGGTTATGAGAGGTGAGCAGGTTCAAACATGGGGCTTTTATAAATGTATTCTCCACTGGACACTTCCACACAGTCGCACGTACATTACAGTGAGGGCAGACGGGTGTGCGGCACTGAGGTTTCAGCTCCGTCTGCTGTTGAGTCCTGGGAAGTGATGCCCAGCTTCCCGTGGTCAGAAAGCTCCCCACCCTGGTGACTCCAACCCTGAGCCCAGCAGCAAGGCTGCTCCACGACAATTCCTTGGGGAGGCCAGCGCTTTGCCCATGGTGACTCGCTTAACGGTGTAGCTTTAATCACGGCTGTGGACGTCCTTGGTTGTTTTGTCCCCTTCTATTTTTTCCCTCCTTTTCACACTGTTTTTGTTATAAGAGTGGCACAGTATTTTGAGGAAAATGTAACTCTGGGACACATTTAAGCTCTTGGGATAAACATTTTATTTTTAAGGAGATTTAGTTCATATCTTAGGCATTTTAGTATGAAAATTGAACTTCTGTCCCAAAGTATTTGATTACTGGCATTATTGACAAGGGATGCTTTGGCGGGAGCAGTGTATTAGAACTTGGATTAATTAAACTCTGGTTAAGCAGTCCTGCCTTTTTTTTTTTTCTCTACAGAAAAGTCTCTTAAGCTGTGTGTCACCAAGGAGATGCTCCTTCTTAGTATCACAACTGCTTACACAGGTAAGGGGTTGTCATTCTGGTTCCCCATGGTTGTATGATGACAGTAAGGGCTCAAAACACTGCCGTGTCATTCTTTCTTGCACTTCTGTGTTTTGACCATGTTCGGCTGTGGCATCAGCTGGGGTCTCCTGAGGATACTTTCCAAGGGCAGCTGGGGTTGGAGCTTCCGAGACAGTTTCATTCCCGTGTCTGCTACCTTGCCAGGGCTGGCAGGGTTGGTCTGTCTGTCCATCTGTCTCTCTCTCTCCTTGTTGTCTCAGCGCCCTCCCATCTGTAGGACCCCACCTCTGCAGGATCTCACCACCAGACATGAGACTGAGACTTCTTAGTGGCTACAGGCACCAAACGGGCAACAGGAAAACTACCAGACCTTCTTGAAGGGCCAGCCTGGGTCTAGCCCAAGATCACTCCTACTGCATTCTGTTGGTGACAGCAGATCACAGGGTCAACCCAAGTTCAGTGTGGGCAGATTCTGCAAAGGGCAGGAAAACCAGTAATCAGGGCTCCTGTGAGTTTAAAGTGACAGCAAATAGCCGGACAAACCCCTGTAACTTCATATGGGCTAAGATCACTTCTAATGAAATAGAAGTATGTGATAATGTCATCGGAAAGCAAATGGAACGGTCATCCTTCTTGTAATTTTTTTTTTTTTTTTGGTACTGGGAATTGAACTCAGGACCTTGCACTTGCAGGCAGGCACTTGTGCTGCTGAGCTATATCCCCAACTCTGTCATCTTTCTTAAGAATGGTGAAGGCCAGGTGTGATGGCACAGGCCTCTAATCCCAGCACTCAGAAGGCTGAGGCAGGAGGATCGCTGTGAGTTCGAGGCCAGCCTGGGCTATATAAGTGAGTTCAAAGCCAGCCTTAACTACACAGTGAGACCCTCTCTCAAAAAAATAAAAAGAAAAGAATGGTGAGAAAATCCATTTCCTTTTAAAAAGTGCTATCAGTTACTGTTCTGACTTACTTTTTATGTGCCTCATCTTTTAAGGAGAAAAAGAATAAACATTAACATGGTGCTGCCAGTTTGAACTACCAGTGTGGTATAGGTGTGACTGTCTTGGGGCATCTTGTGCCGCTGGTGGTACAAACAGATCTAATCACTTTCATCAGTCTTTTTACTAATAAAACTAATGAAAAAGTCTATGAATGGATTGAATCTAGTTAGTTGCATGAATTTGAATAATTACTGCCCAAATGTAAAAATCAATACTATTCAGACCAACTAAAAATTATTACGGTAATCAGTAAGTTTATCTCGTTAAATTAAAAGATTCAGTTATTGTGGTGAGTTTCTTTCAGACATTTTATACATAAAGGCAGCTGATTTGTGAAGTGTGCAAAACATCATCATATGTTTGGCTTTTTTTTTCGGCCACGGCAGAACCCATTTTTTTGGATAGGACCTCCAAATGATATAGGTGAAATAAATGTAATTCCCAAAGTGCTAGATGTCCGATATGCCAAGTTTATGCTCCCTGAAATCAAAGAATGAGTTGTGAGGAACAACAGAGGTTATGAGGAAGAAATTTAATTGGGGAGAAGGAATGGGGAATGGGAATACTCCTGAGAGGCAGGAGGGGTCCCTAACGTGCATCGCCAGCGAGCTCACTTCGCAATGGAAGTTTTATAGTGCAAAATCATGAGGTGGGTACAACATGGGTCAAAAGTGTGATCAGCCAATAAGGTTACAGGTATAGCTGTTTAGGTAATATTGATCCAATAGGAAACGGCCACGTAGCACATGTACATGGATGATGTCATTAACCTTGATTGATAGTCTATAGTCTTAGTAGTCTTGGTCTTGGTGGGAGAGCATGGCCCTCCTCTAATGAGATAATGGTTTATTTATACAGGAAATCTCAAAGGGTGATACCAGTCCTCTCAAGCTTCTATGTATCCCTTAGGGAAGTATGTAAATCTGGCCACTGTGATTTTAATCTTCAGATGCGCCTCCAGCTGCAGTTTTGATGTGTTCATCTTCTGCACTGACTCCCTGAGGGCCTAGCCCTGTCTGCCTGTAATATTTCCACCTGTGTCTATAGTACCTGTACCACCAGGGATTCAAGCTGATGGAATGGTCAAATTCCAATCAGAGCCACTGGCAGCAAGACCTATGAATTACGGCCATGTCGGGAACATCTGTAAAATTCACAGTTAAGGTTTTGTACATTAAGAGATTTTTTAAAAAGTCTTCTATTGATTTACCCTAAGTTTCTACTCTAATTTTAGGATTTTTTTTTGAGACAGGGTCTAGCTATGTAGTTCAGGCTGACCTTCAGCTCACTTTGTAGCCCAGGCTGGTCTTGAACTCACAATCCTCCTTCCTCGGACTCCTGAGTGCTGGGATTATAGACATGCGCCACCATGCCTGACCATTTTGCATTTTAAATTCCTCAATACTCAGGAGTTTAGTAGGGAGGTGCTGCATTCCTTGTGGCCTGAGGAAGTTCATTCTTGGTCTAAAGACCTTCACTGTTACTCCTATTTTCATTCTTATCAACACAGCCATCACCCAACTCTAAGCTCAAGCCCTTTCCTTAAGTGAGCTGCCTGTTCTTCAGCTAACTAAATGAACTATTTTTTACAGCTTCATGTTTGCCATATTAGGGTTTTTTTAACTTGGGTTTGGGTTTTCTTTTCCTTTTTGTCTTTTTGAGTCAGGGTCTCACTATGCAGTTCAGGCTGAGCTTGAGCTCACTTTGTAGCCCAGACTGGCCTCGAACTCGCAGTGATCCTCCTGCCTCAGCCTCCCGAGTGCTGGGAATATAGGCGTGCGCCACCACGCCTGGCTGAGGATTGGGGTTTTAACAAATGAATTTTGCAGGAACACAGGTGTTCAGTCTTTGGCACGTAGCTAATTCCCTTTCATCATTTATATAGCACAGAATTATACTCTGCTTGGGAACATTTCAGCCTCAATGAATTTTGTTTTATGTGTATCCATTATGTACATATACCTCAATACCAAAGACATGAAAAACTAGGAAAAGGAGATTGCGAATGTAATGTTAAATTAAATCTGATTTTTTTTTTTTTTTCTTTAAAGGTCTGGAATTGACTTTCTTCTCTGGTGTATATGGAACTTGTATTGGTGCCATAAATAAATTTGGAACAGAAGAGAAAAGCCTCATTGGACTTTCTGGCATTTTCATTGGCATTGGAGAAATTTTAGGTTGGTTTTTTTTTTTTTTTTTTTTTTAAAGCTGTTGACTAGTTTGTTATAGTTAAAATGCTAGTGTTAGGTGTATTTCTCTATCCTTGAATTTTTGTTTTTCCTATTTATTTTTTTATCCAAACAGGAATGTTTTGTTTTTCTATTATCACTACTTTAAGATAAGTAAATTATAAAACATTTGCCAGCCGGGCATGGTGACTGTAATCCCAGCACCCGGGAGGCTGAGGCAGGAGGATCGTTGTGAGTTCAAGACCACCCTGGGCTACAAAGTGAGCTCAAGGCCAGCCTGAACCTCATAGCGAGACCCTGTCTCAAAAAGACAAAAAAAAAAAGAAAAAGAAAGCATTTGCCAGATGCTTTACAGATGGAAACCACAAGTCAGCAAACATGGTCTCCCAGTTCTTCCTCTTCAAATAGGGAGGCTCGTCTCTCCCTGTTCCGGTCCTGCTCATTCTCTGACTCAGACACCAGCTGTGTGTCCAGCAGTTCAATCCTGCCCTGACACCAGCCATCCAGAGTTAATGACAAACTCCTGTCGAAGGGCAAAATCACAACAGTTCCGTTTGCAGATCTCAAATTATTTGATTCCTTTCCTAACCCAGAATAAGTGTTCCGGGCTCAGCGGAAGAGGCTGGTTTTGACAGAGAAGCCCTGAAAGGGCAGAAGCAACGAGCCAACAGTGATGGGGTCATTTCCCCATTCCTTTCTTTGTAAGGCATGACAGAGAGATGAACAATAGAAAATAACTTGTTTCAGGTGACTTCGTAAGGAGTAAAGGGTGTAATGATTAAAACTGAAGGAACGTCATTGCCATGCCATTAGAAACGGGCCTGATGGGGAATTTTGGTCACTGTGTGATTTCTGGGAAGGTCAGAGAACAATTTAAATTTTGCTTTGGTGACACAGAACTTTAGCATAGGTGACTCCATTTTGACTTTCAGTCTGCTGTTGGGGCCCAGAGCATAAGCTTAGCCCAAAGCAGTGGCCTGCTATACTTTTTTAACACTCTACAAGTGGAAGGGTTCGGTCCCACTGACCACCCTCACATCACACGCGTTGCAGGACTACCAGGTGACCTGCACTTCTGCCTTAGCTGGCCACGAATTGGGGGGTTCTCGTGACCCTCCCCCCTTGTGGCCTCATAAATTCCTAAACAGTTTGCATAACTGAGGAAAATGCTGTACTCACTGTTACAGTTTATTATAAAGGATGCAAATGAATGGCCTGATGAGTAGGTACAGGGGTGAGAAAGTCCCCGAGCCAAGGTGCCTGTCCCCATAGTTAGGTTATACCACCTTCCAGGCGTGGAGACGTGGTCACCACTGTGAGGCTCTGACAGCCGTGTTAGGGGCTTTATAGAGATTTTGTTATGTAGGTCCGCCAGATTAAAACACTGGCTGCTATTGGTGATTAAATGCAATCCTTAGCCTTTCTCCCTCCCCACGGTGAGTAGGGTAAAGCCCCTGGAAAGCCAGTCTCCCTGCCTCTTTTTTTCCCATGGAGCTACATCTACAGTCCCCTCCCTCCATTTTTTTTTGAGACAGGTTCTCATCATGTAGTCCAGGCTGGCTCAAACTCACAGTGGTGCTCCTGCGTCAGCCACCCAAGTGTACCACCATGCCTGGCCCCAGCCTTTTTTTGAGACAGGGTCTCACTGAGTTGCCTGGGCAAGGGTGGAACTTGTGATACTCCTGCATCATTCTCACAAAGTACTGGGATTATAGGCATGCACCACCAAGCCTGGAAACTAGCTTTGTCTAGGGCCAGCCCTTCCCTCTCTTATTAGCATAAACTCAGTTATGATTGAGAGAGGATTCTCCCTCCAACCTCCACCTGGCTCAGGGTCTCACTTCGTAATTCAAACTGATCTTCTTGAACTTGCTGTGTAGCCCAGACTCACAGCAATTCTCCTGACTTAGCCTTATTCATAAGTGCTAGGATCACAATTTTCTTTCTTTTTTTTTTTTGAGGCAAGGTCTCACTATGTAGTCCAGGCTGGCCTTGAACTCATGTGTAGCCTACAGGGACATCTTCTGAATAACAGGAAGCACTCTGGATGTGGCGGGTCACAACTATAATCCCCCCGCTTTGAAGGCTGAGGCACAAGGATCACAAGTTTGGGCAATTTAGTGACTAAGCAAAACTCTATCTCAAAATAGAAAATTCAACAAAATGCAATTAAACAAAACAATTAAAATAAACATTTAAAATTTTAAAAAGGGCGGGGGATGTAGTTCAGGGTGAAGGCCCTGGGTTCAATCCCCAAAATGCACCCCTCTATCACTAAGGAAATTCCAAAGCTTAGGATCTCTATGCCAAAAAATGGGGTCCAGGCCTGGGATGTAGGTCAGTGGCACAGCACCTGCCTGGCAAACACAAGGTCCTGAGTTCAATTCCCAGTACCAAAAAAGAAAAGGGACCAAGACCAATACATATATATATTTTTTTCTTATATCACACTAGTTCTTCCGTACTCAACCAAGATTTGCTGAGCACATGCAGTATACAGAAGCTGTGGTAGTCAGGAGGAACTTGCCAGTTTAGCAAGTATTTATTGTGTGTCCATTATGTCAGCCAAACAGATAAAATTCCCTGCCCACACGGAGCTTACATAACAGACAATTAAAAACCATAGAACATAGAGCACATAGAAGCACTGTGGGGAGGGCACGTTACTGGGTTTTAGGGTGCTGGCATCTCCTGGAGGTGGTGTAGGTTCTTCTTGTCCTGAGCAAAGAATGGGTCAAACAGTAGCAAAGTTTTACTAAAGGTAGGAAAAGAAACAGGCTCTGTAGAGCTATTTTGGGCCAAGTAAGCACAGGGAAAGAAGTGCACCCTGCAACGTGAGGCTGGCTGCCCCACCTGAGAGAATACAGGGGCAAAAACTCAATGTGGATGATCATGGTGATGTCAGGTCCAGGCCATCCTATGGAAAACGTGTTGCAGCCCAGTGCGGTGCTTTGGGGATTGTTCTGTGCATGTGTGTTGGGCTGTAATGAATCCTCACACCTACTTCCCCAGCCAGCGTTACCACGCCCTAATCTCTTGTATCTGCAGACTTTTTTGTTGTTCCCTGTAAGTGGCAGTTACATGGGTTGAGGCAACAGAGGTCAGTAGTGAGTGAGGGCCAGCGTGACAGCCGTGGGGAGAGTGTGCAGGGCTGCTGCCATGGTGGGCTTAGGAAATCCACGGAGACCAAACATGGCGCCGTGTCCAGTGGGAAATGCGGGATGGATGGATGCTCTGAGAAACTGGGCCACCATTTCTCACATCACCATGCTGAAGGTGGCGTGGCGGAATTCCACGGTGCTGGGCTCATCTGCCTGTCGTGGGATAGAGCCCTTTGACAGCAACTTCTTGTTCAGTGTGGGCCTCCTCTTGGGGTCAGATGGTGTGTGTGTTGCTTACGTCTCTTCTGCTATCGTACAAGATTTCTACAGCTTGTCTTTTGTGGTACCAACACACTGTTTTTAGTTTCTCGCTCACAACCTAACAGCACTAGGGAGACCCTTGGAAGCAGCGCACATAACCTAGTCCTCCGCACTTTCTCTTGATCTACCCTCCGTTGAGGATTCTCCCCAACCAGCTCTTTATAGTCACAGAGGCAAAAATGACTTTCCACCTGCAGCACCCCATACAGGCAGAAGACCTCTTTCTCCCCCATTTGTGTACTTACTATTTGTGTAGACCCTTGAATTCCTGTTTCTTCCAAATGGTTTATTATCGTTGCTGTGCTAATTATTTTGATGCTTATGTTTTCCCAACTTTGGTCTGTGGGATCCCTTTCAAAGCAGGTTTCAGTACCCTTGTGATGTGTCCCTGATTATTATTATTATTATTATTTTTGAGACAGGTTCTTAATAAGCAGTTCAGGCTCATCTTGAACTCACTATGTAGCCCAGGCTGGCCTCCAACTTGAAGCAGTCCTCCTATCTCAGCCTCCTAAGTGCTGGAATTAGAGGTGTGTGGCACCACGCCTGGCTCCTGCTACTTTTTGAGCATTTGTTTATATCTGACACATGGGTTTCTCTGGCTCATCGCATGCTTACCCTCTCCCAGCCATTTGTCTCTCCAAGGGGCCCTGGTTCCTCTCGGTGGGGAATGTGGCACTGGGGCGCTCACAGCCATTAGATGTCTTTGATTTTTGGGTCTTTCTGTGGACAGACCTAGGAGATGCATGCATGTATTCACACATCCTCTCTCTCTCTCTCTCTCTCTCTCTCTCTGAGACAGGATCTTGCTATGTAGCCCAGGCTGGCCTGAAACTCACAGTGGTCTTCCTGCCCCAGCCTCTCAAGTGCTGGGATTACAAATGTCTGCCACCACACCCAGCCACACACATGTATATTAAGACAGTTACTAATCTTTTTTCTTTTCTGTTGTAGGGACACTAGGGCCTCATGGACATCAGCATACCTTTCCACTGAGCTACCTCTCCAGCCCTTTAAATATTTTAAATTACAAATAGTCCTTAGTTTCCAAGTGCTTCAACTTTTGATCCTCCTGTCTCAGCCTCCCAGAGTGCTGAGATTATAGGGGTATGCTGCACACCTTGAGTTTTTCCCCCCATTTTGCTAAAATTTTGAGTCCTTGCTCAGTTTCAATTTTTTTTTTATAAACTGAACATGGTGGCGCACGCCTATACTCCCAGCACTTGGGAGGCCGAGGCAGGAGGAATGCTGAGAGCTGGAGACCAGCCTGGGCTACTTAGTGAGGCCCTGTCTCAAAAAAAATTTTTTCAGGGCCAGAGATATAGCTCAGTGGCATGGTGCCTGCCTGGCAAGTGCGAGGTCCTAAATTTGATTCCTGGTACCAAAAAAAAAAATTTTTTTTTTCAGGGGGAGCTGTTTTCTGAACTTTATGTGAGGAATATTTCCCTTAGTTTGCCATTTGTCTGTGGCTTTACTTATGGTGCTTTTTTCCAAAGTTTTATCTTTTATGGGGTCAGATTTACCAGTGTTTCATTTTTATTGCTCCTGGATTTTGAGTTGCAGATGGAATGCTGTTCTTTTTTTTTTTT